GGTATTAATTTTTCTTCATACTTAGACCATATTCACAATATGTTTTTTAGAAAAGGGTTCTCTATTTTGTTATACCATTTCTTGTCTAGATTCCTAGTTTTCCCTATAAAGAAAATATATTCTAGTTTCATATCTATGTCTTCACTCTCTTCTTCTAACCATTCTAAATCTTTTTGACCCATAATCCCTTCAACAATATACCTTAACTGGTTTGCTATATAGTATAGTTTTAAGTTTAGTATTCGTAGACCTCCCTTCTTCTGTATTTTATACCATTTTTCCTTATTAATTCTAACTCTTTTATTCTCATTGCAGAAGGTGTTTATCATATTCTGCCATTTTGTAATTTCTCCAGCTGAGATTTTAATAGGTAGCATCCTAAACAAAAAGTTTATTTTGGGTAATATTTTCATCTTTATTAAAGCTAGTCTACCAAACCATGACAATTTAAGCTTGGCAAATTTAGCCAGAATATCCTTCACATTTTTCCTTAATTTGATTAGATTCTCCCCTTCTAGTTTATCAATTTCTTTAGAAATATTAATTCCTAGATACTTTATTGAGTTCTTTATTTTTATTCTACCCAATCTCCCTTCTCTTAATTTTTCTTCTTCTTCTTTAGTGTGGTTAAATAATAAGATTTCTGATTTATCCCAATTAACTTTAAGGCCTGTAATTTCCCCAAACTCTGTTAAATGTGCTTCTATTCTTTTTATCTGTTCTAATGGCTTTCCGAAAGTTTGTAGTGTATCATCTGCAAATAAACATATCTTGTATCTTCCCTCCTTCCCTATCCCCTTTATATGTTTATCCTCTCGTATCATATTTGCTAGCATTTCTATAACTATTGAGAATAGGGTAGGAGAGAGGGGGCATCCCTGTCTTGTTCCTCGAGTCAATCTTATTTTCCCAGTAAGGCCATCATTTACTTGTATAGCGGCATAGTTGGTTGAGTATAGTTTCTCAATCAGTCCTCTAAATCTCTCTCCTAAACCAAATTTTTCTAATATTTTTTTTAATGCCGGCCATGAGACGCAATCAAATGCTTTAAATATGTCTAGGGTCAGTATCCCTGCTTTAATATTCTTTTTCTTAATTGTATGAATCACATTTAGTACTCTTCCCACTGGGTTTGACATTTGTCTACCAGGAATAAATCCATATTTATCTTTTTTAATATAATTATATATAAAGCTATTTAATCTCTTTGCCATTATTGCCGTCAGTATTTTAGCATCTTTTTTAAAAAATAATTTTTATTGAGATTTTTGCATTTGGAATACATCTATCGAGATGTTGATCATTGACATATCGTTATGATAAAAGAGGGGAGTGAGGGTATGATGGGTAGGAAAGTTGGGGAGCTACCCGGGAAGGGGAAAAAAAGGGGGGGTAGCACATCCGACTAAGGGAAAGAGGGGGGTTGTGCTGGGGTTGGAGAGTGGGACGTGGAGTGTGTTAGAATTCTTATCTACTGATTATGTCCCTTATAGCTTTGTTAGTATTGGTGTTATCTTCTACTGAGGTTGTCTTCTTTTCTTCTCTCTAGTTTTCTTTCTCAATTTAGCTGTCTTCTAGATATTTCTTGATTGGAGACCAGTCTGTTTTGCTCACCCCGGTCGTCTGTTTAGATCTCAAATATTGTGTCAGTGAGTCCATATTCATAATATCCATTAGTTTTAGTTTCCAATCGTCTATCGTTAGTATTTCATCATTTTTCCATTTTCTAGCTAGTACTAATCTTGCGGCTGTGGCCATATGGAAAAAGAGCTTATCTTTGTTCATTTCCACTTCGAAGTCCAAGATTCCAAGTAAATAGTACTCCGCTTTCATTTCTTTTCTGAATTCTAATATTTTGTTGGTTATCTCGTGGATTTCTTTCCAGAATTTTTTGACTTTCTCACAGGTCCACCAAAGATGGAAAAAAGTGCCTTTCTTTTCCTTGCATTTCCAGCAGTCTTCTGATACATTTTTATAGTATTTCGCTAGTTTATTTGGTGTAAGGTACCACTGGAACATCATTTTAATCCAGTTTTCTCTCAGGTTGTGAGAATTTATCCATTTTAGTTTGGTCTTCCAGATCTTTTCCCATTCCAGTGTATCAATGGTGTGTCCTAAGTTGGCTGTCCATTTTGTAATATAGCTGTTTATATTGTTTTTTTCTGTCTTCCAACATAATAAGATTTTATATAATTTAGTAATTCCCTTTTTCTCTGATAGCATAATCCTTTCCCACTGTTTTTCACCAGTTTCAAATCCTACTTTCCTATCTTTGTTGAATGCTTCGTTCAGCTGTCTATGTTGAAACCACGAGATCTCTCCATATGATATTTTGATCTCTTCCAGTGTCTTTCTCTTGTAGCCTTCTCTGTCTTTTTTCAGGATGACTTCATACTTGGGCCAATTTTCCCATCCCAGCTCTCTTCTTTGGGATACCTCAAGCGGGGAGATCCAGAGGGGTGTCTTAGCATCTTGATTTATAAGGGCAATAGGTCTATATGAACCAGGATCTTTAGGGTCTTTGTTTTTAGCATTAATATGATCCTTGATTCCTGCCATGATGATGGGATCTGTTCTCCTTCCATTATCCTATTATATAGTTCTTTTAATTTTGGCACTAAAATTGATTTACTTTTTTTATAATATTCCGGTCCTAGCCCATCCATTCCTGGAGTCTTCCCTCCTTTCAATTTATCTATAGCATCTCCTATCTCTTTTTCTGATGCTAATTGTTCCATACTCATTTTATACATCTCCTGTAATTTTATTTTCCAGAAAATATTCTGGAAAATACTGGCTGTTCCTTTAAAAGCCCTGTTTACGCAAGCATTCACTGGCCTGCGCAACATGGTTATTTTAAGCCTTCCCCATTAGAGCCAGCTTTCTGTAACCATGGATTCAATCAGTCATACCAGGAAAATCTTTATTTAATTATCTAGAAAACAAACCTAGAATTCATCGTGATGTATAGGGCCAATTGGATTTGATGCGGATGGCTAGGATAGTTTTAAATGGTGTATTTTAATATTTTGATAAATGTCTTTTTAATGCTTATGTATTGTATGTGAATTTGTGTCCCGGCATTGAATGTTTGCCGTGTATATGCTGTGCTCCCCCCTGAGTCCCCTTTAGGGTGAGAAGGGCAAAATATAAATGTTTTAAATAAATAATAAATAATAAATAAATATCGGAGTTGTAGGTATAGGGATGTATAGTTCACATGCAGTCATTGAGCACTCTGAACTCCACCACTTATGGACCTGGAACTAACTTGGCACACAAAACACCCATGACCAACAAAAATGCTGGAGGTCTTTGGTGAGATTTATAGGAGTTGTAGTTCACCTACATCCAGAGCATAGTATGCACCCAAAAAACGATGGATCTAGAACAAACTTGGCATACATCCCCAATATACCGAAATTTGAATAATGGTGCATTTTGAGGGGAATTGGCCTGGGCATTTTGGAGATTTATAGTTCACCTGCAGTCAATGAGCACCCTGAACTCCACCAACGAAGGATTTGGAACTAATTTGGCACACAGAGCCTCCATGGCCAGCAAAAAATACTGGAGGCCTTTGGGGAAAAATTCACCTTGATTAGGGGGAGTTGAAGTTCACCTACATCCAGAAAGCACTGTGAATCCAAACACTGATGGATCTGACCAAACTGATACCTGATATGCCTGAGGAGGAGGGAGGGAGCGAGGGAGGGAGGATTGAGGGAGGAGGGTGAAGGGAGGGGGCGAGGAAGAGCGCCGGGCTGCACTACCAGGCCGGCAGGGTGGTAACCTACTGGGCTGTCCTCACCGTTGCGGGCATGGAGTTGGCTCCGCCTCTGCCCTCAAGCCCAGAACAGCTACAGCAGGAGCCAAAGCTGGAGCGGCGGCGGGGGGGGGGGGGGGGAGGTCGCTTCTGGCTGCCCCCCCCGCAGAGAGGTACCTTGCAATGGAGATGAAAATAAAATGCCGGCTGGGGATGTTTGCCTGCTGGGCTGTCCCCACCGCCACTGGTCTGCTGCTGGCTCTGCCTCCGGCCTCAAGGCCAGAGCAACCGCCAAGGGAGTCAAAGCTGGAGCGTGGGGCGGGAGGGATGAGGTCCTCTTCTCCCACTGCCCCCCCCCCCCCCTCCGGTTTTGGCTCCCACGGCAGCTTCTCCAGCCTTGAGGCCGGAAGCGAAGCCAGCAGTCGGCCAGTGGCGGCAGGGACAGCCCAGCAGGGAACCACCCCTAGCTGGCATTTTATTTTCATCTCCATTGCAAGGTACATTAGACTCCGTACTAGACGAAAGAGAGGATGTAAATCTAATTACTGTATATACTCGAGTATAAGCCTAGTTTTTCAGTCCTTTTTTAGGCTGAAAAAGTCTCCCCCGGCTTATACTCGAGTCAATGTTATTTATTATTTTACTTTGTTGTTGTTGTTGTTGTTGTTGTTACATTTATTATATTATTGTTATTATTACATTTATTATTTTACTGTATTTTTATTATTACATTTATTATTTTACTCTATTATTACTGTTATTATTACATTCCATTATTTTACTCTATTATTATTATTTTACTCTATTTATTATTATTGGAGGACATGTAAGCATATTTACATTGAAGAAGGTTAGAATAATGGTTTAATCAGAGTTGGACAGTCTTATCTTGAATTACAGTTTTATGTAAATATTCAAAAACATTTAACCTACTGATGCCTAAATTAATATAATTTTATTGGTATCTATTTTTATTTTGAAATTTACCAGTAGCTGCTGTATTTCCCACCCTCGGCTTATACTCAAGTCAATACATTTTCCCAGTTTTTTTGTGGTAAAATTAGGTGCCTCGGCTTATATTCGGGTTGGCTTATACTCGAGTATATACGGTAACTAATTGGATGGGTAAATAATAATAGGAATGCCTGAGTGTAAGTTAAAAAGGGGTGAATTATGTCCAGCCTCTTTCCTCATTCCATTCCAAAGAGAAAAAAAATCCAGCTCAGGGCTATACCTGGCCATTCTGGGAAGCAGCTCAAACATCGTATCCAAAACATTCCGGTAACGTTTCTTCAGTTTAAAGAGCCTGCAACAAGAGAGGAAAATGTACTTTTGCTCCATATCTTCAGCTCCCAGAAACCCAGATATCAATTCCTGCTGATGTCCATTTGCTTTGAAACCTAATGTGGCCTCTCCAAAGGAGACCATTTGTGAACCAAGTCCTTCACCAAACCTCTGTATAAATCAGTAGTTCTCCACTTTCCTAATGCTGTGACCCCTTAATACAGTTCCTCATGCTATGGTGACCCCCAACCATAAAATTATTTTCGTTGTTACTCCATAACTGTACTTTTGTTACTGTTATGAATCTTAATGTAAATATCTGATATGCAGGATGTATTTTCATTCACTGGACCAAATTTGGCACAAATACCCAAATGTGAACACTGGTGGAGTTTGGGGAAAACAGACTTGACATTAGGGAGTTGTAGTTGCTGGGATTTATAGTTCACCTACAATCAAAGAGCATTCTGAACCCCACTAATGATAGAATTGGGTCCAACACACAGAACTCCCATGACCAACAGAAAATATTGTGTTTTCTGATGGTATTTGGTAATCCCTCTGACACCCCCTCGCGACCCCCCCCCCCGGGGTCCTGCCCCCCAGGTTGAGGAACATTGGTATAAATGAATCCTCCTGGCCTCACTTCACCTTGCTTTGAAAGCCTTTGATCATCTTCTTACCTGAGTAACTGCAGAGGTCGCAGAACAACAATGAAGTAGAATGGCTCCATGTTAAATGCCAGCGCCAAGAGACCCAAGAAGGCAAACAAGGTGACCGAAAAATCAAAGCTGGAAGAGAAAATGGGGAAGGGTCCTTCAATGGGGAGTTTGTGAGACCGAACCGGAAAAGGCTGTGACAACACACTTACAGATTCCAACCCGAAGAGAGGTATTCCACAGGCCCCAATCCGGTGATCTTCAGTAGCACCTCGACCCCATAGACTGTTGGCACAAGAAAACAAAATGTCTAAGAATGTTGTCTGTTCTACCTGCTTTTTAAAGCCATGCCGTGAACCACCTTGGGCCTCAGTATTGTGCGAAAGGTAGCATATAGACCAAAGGAAAGCAAAAGAGGCCGATTTGTCCATTTTGAATCAGACCTTAATAAATGGCAGCACTACATATGGAGGAAAACGTCTCCAACTTGGATTCAGAGGCAATGGAGCAACAGCATTTGGCAGCACTGAGACTTACTTGTAAGAAAAACAATGTAACTCCAAGGGACGTCCCGGGAAAAGATTCCATCTAAAGAAGAAAAAAATAGAGAGTGCACATCTCAGACGGGCCCTAAAACCACATCTCAATGGGGAAGAGGGATCAAAACACAAAAGGAAGCTGGATTGTCCTGTACCTCGAAGCATAAAGGTTTCCACTAAGATCCAGAGGCCATTCACTGCCACCAGAGTATCTAGAAAACACAATCAAGGGTCAGTGTTTTATAGCTTTCCAACAGAGTCTAGAATAGTTCAGATGTGTAAAAACACTGCCCTTGGGATGCCTCCCCCAATATCAAGATTTATTTCTGAGTTTTAAGTATTTTCAGCCCTGCTCAAAATATTCCTAGAGCAGCTTATATGATAACAATGAGCCAGGTGGTCATATAGGTTTTCAAATGACAAACACGGAGCCAAGATGCAAAACAGAAGACATTACTTACAAGCAAAAAAAAAGAACTAGGCTTTTCTGGCTTATTCCTAACCTGATAAGTGCCAAGTGGATTCTTTATCGCACCAAGCTAGCCTACATTTGCATTACCTCTGTTGGCGCCCAACAAGGTGGGTCTTAAAATTGCAGCTGAGTTGGGCCTTTGATATATTAAATGGAGCCAAAGAGGATTCAGAGGCAAAAGTTCTCAATTTTATGGACTTGTTGGGTTTTTACCCCACCTTTCTGCCAATGGTTCCTAGGGCCCCAGTCCTCATGCTACTGAAGGTTCCAATCTTTCCATTTGCCTTGGGGAAGGTTGCTCCACAGACAGCAAATGAACCAAAAAATGGCCCAGGAGACTTACACATAGTGTACTGGAAGGCTCGGGAATTCACCAGTATGTTAATGCCTATTGGTAGGAGGAACATATTAAAAAAAACAGTGTTAATGAGCTTCAATCTTAATTTAAGACCCTTAAATAAAGTTTATTATTATTGTTATTATTATTATTATTGTTGTTCTAAGAAATCAATAGCGACTTGCAATTTCTCAAGTCACTCCTGACACACACAAAAAGGAAAAGCCTTTGGTGGTTCAAGGAAGACCCCTCCAATTGGAAGGCATTACCTTTAAAAATAAGGAATGCAGTCCGTGGAAGGTCATCAAACCAATGCTCCCGGTTCCTTTTTGCCTGGAAGTGAAACCCACCACAAAGCATCACTCATTAAAGACGCCCGTCTCCAGCGAGTTGCATTTTTTAATCGTGCCGAAGAAAAGGAAAAATAAAATTTGGCAAGATGCCTCTTCCTGGAGGTCTCCCTCTTCCCCAACTCTCCTTTCCCTCTGTCTCCATCTTCCTTCCGCATCCTTCTCCGCTAGCACAAATACCCCTTCAAACATGGAGCCCCAACAAGACCAACCAAACAAGAACCCCCCAAAAGCCATACCTTCCACTTTAAGCCAACAACTTCATAGAAACTGTACATATCCTTCAGACTGAAAGAGAAAATGTCCTCAATAAAGAACTGGATTTTGCAAGGTGCACCCGGCAACACATTTCAGATATTCTACTAACTTTTCCAGTTGAAAAAAAAAAGAAAGAATGGAGCCCTGACCTGAGTAAATGAGTATTGCTTTGATTCAGAGCTTTGAAAGTCAGATAACGATCCCGAGCGCTCATCCGAGGTTTATAGAAGCGCATCAGCCCATCAAACTGCTTGAAGGGGATTCCAGCAGGTCTCTTGAAGCAAGGGAAAGATTTCCACACATTAGTTGCATCAGGAAAATGTACAGTTATCATCATACCTCACTTTGAACATTCTGGAAAGAAAGTACTGGTTAACTTTTAGCAATTGCCAAATTATCCATGTTCAGGATCAGATGTCAGCTAATCTGACGATCTTGCATCTGAAAACTGCAACTGCCAGGATCCTCCATGTTAGCTGGGAATTCTAGACCAAAAAGGAATTCCTCCAAGCTCTGATTCCAGCCCATAAGAGTTGTGGTTAACAAAAGTGGCTCGAGAGCAGTACGTGTGAAAAAGATCTTGGGAGTCCTCGTGCGACAACAAGTTAAACATGAGCCAACAATGTGATGTGGCAGCAACAAATCCAATGGGATTTTGACCTGCATCAATAGGAGTATACTGTCTAGTTCCAGGGAAGTCATGCTACCCCTCTATTCTGCCTTGGTTAGACCACACCTGGAATATTGTGTCCAATTCTGGGCACCACAACTGAAGAGAGATATTGACAAGTTGGAATGTGTCCAGAAGAGGGCGACTAAAATGATCAAGGGTCTGGAGAACAAGCCCTATGACGAGCAGCTTAAAGAGCTGGGCATGTTTAGCTTGAAGAAGAGAAGGCTGAAAGGAGACATGATAGCCATGTATAAGTATGTGAGGGGAAGTCATAGGGAGGAGGAAGCAAGCTTGTTTTCTGCTGCCCTGGAGACTAGGACGCAATGGAACAATGGCTTCAAACTAACTAGTGTTCCATCTGAACATGAGGAAGAACTTCCTGACAGTGAGAGCTGTTCAGCAGTGGAACTCTCTGCCCCGGAGTGTGAAAGAGGCTCCTTCATTGGAGGCTTTTAAACAGAGGCTGGATGGCCATCTGTTGGGGGTGCTTTGAATGCAAGTTCCTGCTTCTTGGCAGGGAGTTGGACTGGATGGCCCGAGGTCTCTTCCAACTCTATGATTCTACTGCAAGGGATGTGAAATGCCACCATTTTTTGGCACACGTCTATCCACACACAGGGTCACATACCTGTTTGCTGACAAGCAGGCGGTAGGCATGTTGAATGGCTGTCCGTTTGTGAAGCAGCAGGGATCTGAACTTCCTCTTTTCAATGTCATTGAAAGTATCAAACACAACAGCAAGTAACTAAAGGAAGAGAAGAAGGAGATGAGCCAATCTCCCCATCTTCCAGTGGCAGCCTTCACTTCCATGAAACATTGGCATGTGGATTGCAATGCAACAAGAAATGCTAGCCTTTCAGGCACCACAAGACTTCTTGCTCTTTTCGCTGCTCTGGGTTGATAAAGTTACTCATCTGTCCAGCCAAAGCAATGGGCAATGAAGCATTGAAACTAGAAGCTTGAGGATGCAGCCAAGGGACTTACCAAATTCATGATGAAGTAGAGCTCGATAGAAAGGTACACAATAAAAAACACACAGGACCAAGGGCTTCGGGCATAAGAGGGCATCATGACATCTGGGAAACTAAAGCCCCCCCCCAAAGACAGAAACCACACTGTTAGCTTCAGAATAGGGAACCAAACTCTCAAACAAGGTAGATTTTATAGTAGCAGGTCCATGTTATGTCAAATCAAGGTCCTTTTAAAACTAGCCATAATTTTAAACCTTCACTAGGACCTGGATTGTGGGAGGACAAGCTCTAGAATGGGAGTATTTTCCATCCTCTGGTTACATTGTATACCACTAAGGCTGAAATCTTAAGCCAGTTTCATTTCTTTGCATTAACATTGGTGGGGCTTCCTTATCACGTAAAATGCTTCTTAAAAAACCCCAAATTCCTGTCAACTAGTAAGTAAACCTCAACTGAGCTGAAAAGAAGTTCCTTCTAAGCAAAGATGTGGGGAACCACTGGCTGAAAAGTCCACATTTATAAACTTACTTACTTTGCAGTGGTCAGAAGAACAAAAAGATTCACCAGGCTATTCTCTAAGGTGTTGAAATACTGCAGGAGAGAAACACATGTCAGAAAATAGCACAGTGGCCTACCCTCAAATACACAACTGTATCAGTACATCTTCTATCTATACACATAATAAAAGTGAAAATATGTATGTGTGTATGTGGCTGGGGTGCCCACTTTCACAGACAGGCTCCCACTTCCACAAACAGCTATGATCCTCACTTATGAGGAGCCACCAAAGGCCCTCCCTTCCAATGACATTGCAGGTTATAGTGGGTGCCATGAACATGTTCAAGAGTCCTCCACAATCACCACACTGCCCACCACCCAAGTAAATGCTTTCATATGGGGACAATTTCATCCTAGATGTTATATTTTTCTCTACCACAGGTATCCCAGTGTTTCTTACTCTCCCAATTGTTGTGGAATTTGCATGGCCCCACCCACTGTCTCTCACATAACCCTTTTCTATTCTTTTCTATGGCACAAAGCAAACAGAGGAATTCATCACCAACTAAACATACTAGAGAGGTTTGGGGAGAATTCACCATGATTTATAGGAGTTGCCACTACTGGGACTTATAGTTCACCTGCAGTCTAAGAGCACTCTGAACTCCACCAACAATGGACTTGGAACTAACTTGGCACACAGAACCCCCATGACCAATAAAACATACAGGAGGTCTTTGGAGGGAATTATAGGAGTTGTAGTTCACCTACATCCAGAGTGCACTATGAATCCAAACAATGATGGATCTACGCCAAACTTGGCATGCATACCTGATATGCCCAAATTTGAATACTGATGGGTTTTGAGGGGAATTGGCCTGGGCATTTTGGAGTTGTAGGTACTGGGATTTATAGTTCACCTGCAATCAATGAGAACTCTGAACTCCACCAAAGATGGAATTGGACCAAACTTGGCACACAGAGGTCCCATGTCTAACTCAACCTACTGGAGGGGTTTGAAGGGATTGATTCACCATAGTGGGAGTTTACCCTACAGCCAGAGAGCACACTGAACCTCACCAATGATGCATCTAGAGCAAACCTGTCCAACATAACCAACTATAAGTACTGATGTAGTTTTTCGGAGCTAACCTAGCATGATGTCAGTTGTAATTAATCCACAACCTTATGCATTTTGTATAATTAAAAAACTGACTTTTTCAAATGACCCAGGCAATGCCAGGCCTCGAAGCTAGTAGTACAATAAAACCAAGTCATGAAAGGCTAGATGTCTTCCTTGCAAGGACAATGGAATTGCATGTCATGGCCTGCAGGTTTTCCTTTAGGCCTCACAGCAGCAGCCAGAAAAGGAAGGGGCAGATTTTTATTGCAATCGTATAGCATTTTGAGTTAACATCCATTTGGTCTGGACTGAACCCTTAAAATATGTTAAGCTAAAGGAACACTGTCTTAAGGTGGTGACAAGGAATACACATCCCGATAGGTGCCTTCCCTTCAACAGTTATCACTACACCACTGACCCCAGACTTAGTTCAAAAGCATCCCATTGTTTTAAGCAACTTTCTTCTCAGTCTTACAGATGTCAATAGCAGGCTGTATTTAAACTCGGCAATTTAGGTTTGACCGAGATAAGTTACAAGGGAACCCCTTTGAGAAATGCAGACTCAGCAGTCAAAGCCTTCCCCAAACAGAAAACTCTCCAGCAACAAAAGCTGTAATGTAACCACAGGCAGAAGGAAGATCCCCACCCAGGTTCTCCAGCCAAAAAATGCAGACAGGGCCTATTTTGAAGAGCTTGTATTTCTGATTTAAAGGGTTTATATTACTGATTTGCTCACTCCCATTCCCATATAGCAAACACTCAAGTATCCACAAAGCAAGGCTTTTACTTACGGGATCCGATTTGTTGGGGGAGAACAAATAAAAGCCTAGAAAATTGGTGGGAGAAGAAGAAAGGGGAAAATTAAGCAATGGAATGGTAAGGGAGGAATACATTTAAGCAGCTGGCAACTGAGTCGCAGCAATGTTGTTGATATTGTGTCCCTTTGAGTCATTTCTGATTTATGGTGACCATAAGGGGTTTTTTTCCACACAGCATAATTTGATCAGAGGGGATTGGTGTTTACCTTCCTTTGAGGTTGAGAGAGTGTGACTTTGCTATTGCTCCTTTAAGTCCCGTTCCCTCCCCTCAAAGTTGGTTTGCACTACAACAAACCTCAGGAGTTTCTCTGAGTGTGTCAATGTCCCCCTCTTGTTTTCCAACAGGCCTCACTTTGGCTACAATCCTTTTGGCACGTATCACTTAACATGGGTGATAGCAATACAAATGTAAAGAGAAATCAGCACACCCAGAAAGAAGCTCTTCCTGCAACTATCGCATGAGTTCTGTGGCTACCACATACCCCTTGTCTTACTCCAAATTCCACGAGGAGGAGATAATCCAGGTACATACCAAGGATAGCAAAGATGACCATGAAGAAAAGCAGGAGAAGGAGAATGTCGATGAATGGTGGAAGGGACTGAAAGATCTGCCGCAGGTTCCTGAAAGGAAGGCTGAATTAGTAGCCATCTCTGTAACTGTGCTTCTCATTAAAAAATGCTTGGCTAAACAAAATGCTGGACAAGACAGGCCTTGGCCTGACCTAATTCTTCTCATGTTCTCTTCAGGAAGGTTCTCTCCCCATCACAGTTCACAGATATTTTTGTTTGAGAAGTCATTGAAGATATGGTTTTATGGCCCCACACCAATAAGCATTTAATGATATTAGGTATTCATGTTATGATGAATGCAGAGCACTCAGTGACTTTGGCTGCTCTTTTTAAAAACTGGAATGTAAAAGCACTGCTGTGGAGTGAGGCACTGATTTAAACCAAAAATGACTTCAGTTTGAAACACCAGTGACTAATTCACTTGCTATCCAACCTTTCTACAGGCTGGTGGGGGCACTGCTTTGGAGTGGCTCCACTCCTTCTTGGAGGGCCGCACCCAGTCAGTGAAGCTGGTAGACACCAGTTCAGACCCCTGGCCTTTGTCCTGTGGAGTCCCACAAGGCTCCATTCTTTCCCCCATGCTTTTTAACATCTACATGAAACCGCTGGGGAAAGTCATCTGGAATTTTGGAGTTCGGTGCCTTCTTTACGCAGATGACACTCAGTTCTACTACTCCTTTCCACCTAATTCCAAGGAAGCCTCTCAGGTCCACGACTAGTGCCTGGCCACTATGATGGGCTGGATGAGGGCTAACTGAAGCTAAATCCAGACAAGACAGAGGTCCTCCAGGTCAGTCGCTCGGCCGACTGGGGTATAGGGTGGCAACCTGTGCTCAATGGGGTTATACTCCCTCTGAAGACACAGGTCTGCAGTCCGGGGGTCCTTCTGGACTCATTGCTGACACTGGATGCTCAGGTGTTGACGGTGGCTGGGAGAGTCTTTGCACAGTTAAAGCTCTGTGTGTCAACTGTGACCGTACCTCGAGATGTCTGACTTGACCATGGTGGTCCATGCCCTAGTTACCTCAAGGATGGATGCACTCTACATGGGGCTGCCCCTGAAGACAGCCCAAAACTGCAGTGGTGCAAAGGTTGGCAGCCAGGTTGCTAACAGAAGCAAACTACAGGGAGTAGTCAACCCCCCATTTAAACAGCTCCACTAGCTGTCAATAAGTTTCCAGTCCCAATTCAAAGTACAGGTTATCACTTATAAAGCTCTAAATGGTTCGGAAACTGCCTCTCTTCATGACTGCATCTTCCCCTATGAACTTACGCGATCTCTAAGATCCTCTGGAGAGGCTCTCCTCTCGCTTCCACCACCGTCTCAAACACGGTTGGTGCGGACGAGGGAGAGGGCCTTCTCGGTTGTCGCCCCTCAACTCTGGAACTTCCTCCTCAGGGAGATTAGACTACCACCCTCTGTCTACTTTCCACTAAGAGTTAAAGACATGGATGTTCCGCTGTGCTTTTGAGTAGTCAATTCCGTAGATAGCTGGCCCCAGCTAGGACCCTTTTGATGCCTGCTTTATATTCTTACAATGTTGTTGTTTTACTTTGTTTTACACTGTTGTTATGTATTTTAATGTTACAGTTTAACTCTTTTGACCGGGCTTGGCCTCATGTAAGCCGCCTGAGTCCCTTTGGGGAGAAGGAGGCGGGGGTACAAAACCAAAATAATAATAATAATAATAACCGTATATTCCGGTGTATAAGACGACCCCAACTTTTCCAGTTAAAATATAGAGTTTGGGATATACTCGCCGTATAAGACCACCCATCTTCCAATGCACACCAAATAAAAAATTTAAAAATCAGATTTGAATTCAATATGGTAATTTTAATTCAAATGCTTATGACATGCAGGTTCCTATGAGAGGGACACTGTACCTTACATTGTACATTACAGTTGCTCTTCCTCCCTTGAATTTCATTTACCCTCTGGGTCCTTTACATCATGATGGCAAGTATGAAAGCAGGCTTTAAATGGTTCAGATTACATTGATGTTGGCATAGAAGCTTGCATGCAAATAGAAGTCAGGCTTTGTATTATGAGTACTGAGGTGAAGGCAAAGCATTTGTAGAATTTTTCTTATCTATAAGCAGTCTTTATAAATCAGGACCTCCTATCAGAAGAGAGGGGCAGATTGGACCCTCATCCTTCAGAAATGTAGCATTTGGCATGGCACATGTTTACTGGGTCACATCTTGACATGTCTTCATCCTTAAATCACCGTGACAGCTTGAATTGTTTTAGAGTTTCTCAAGAACATAGCCAGGTGATGTTTAATTGTTAGAAGGGGAAAAGAGATCAGAAAAGAAGAAGGGGGACCCTGGGTAAATAAGAGCTTTCCAGTTTGACTTCTGTCAAAAATAAATTCAAAGATACAGGATGGGGGACGTGTGGCTCGAGAGCAGTACATGTAAAAAAGATCTTGGGGTCCTTGTGGACAACAAGTTAAACATGAGCCAACAATGTGATGCAAAAAAAGCCAATGGGATTTTGGCCTGCATCAATAGGAGTCTAGTGTCTAGATCTAGGGAAGTAATGCTACCCCTCTATTCTGCCTTGGTTAGACCACACCTGGAATATTGTGTCAAATTCTGGGCACCACAGTTGAAGAGAGATGTTGACAAGCTGGAATGTGTCCAGAGGAGGGCGACTAAAATGATCAAGGGTCTGTAGAACAAGCCCTATGATTAGCCTGAAGAAGAGAAGGTTGAGAGGAGACATGATAGCCATGTATAAATATGTGAGAGGAAGTCACAGGGAGGAGGGCGCAAGCTTGTTTTCTGCTGCCCTGGAGACTAGGACACAATGGAACAATGGCTTCGAACTATTCCATCTGAACATTAGGAAGAACTTCCTGACAGTGAGAGATGTTCAGCAGTGGAACTCTCTGCCTAGGAGAGTGGTAGAGGCTCCTTCTTTGATTCTATGATTCAAAGCAGGGACATCTCCGGCCCATCCTCTGTTCGGATATCAGCCAGCAAGGAAATGCCTTAAATCAAGAAATAGTTTACTAAGATCTACAGAGATACTCACAAGGATACCTCAGCAAGCAAGAGTCCAAAAGTGGCAGGCTAAAACACAGAGCCTCGATCCATGGCTGAAACCGAATGAGAAACTCCTTTCTGGGCACAAGGAAGACTGGGTGATTTGGAAGGCACTGAACAGACTGCGCTCTGGCACCACGAGATGCAGAGCCAATCTGAAGAAATGGGGCCACAAAGTGGAGACCACGACATGCGAGTGTGGAGAACAGCAAACCACAGGCCACCTACTAGAATGCAGCCTGAGCCCTTCCACATGCACGATGGAGGACCTTCCCACAGCAACACCAAAGGTACTCCAACTGGCCAGCTTCTGGTCAAAAGGACATTTAGTGTAATGCCAAGTTTTTAGCTCTGTTTGTGTCTTTCTTAATACATTATAATTGTACTGCTTCTGACATTATAAATACAGTCTATGGTCCCCATCTCACCACCATAGAATGGCAGTGCCATGTTGGCTGTTCCTTTAAAAGCCCTGTTTACGCAAGCATTCACTGGCCTGCGCAACATGGTTATTTTAAGCCTTCCCCATTAGGGCCAGCTTTCTGTAACCATGGATTCAATCAGTCATACCAGGAAAATCTTTATTTAATTATCTAGAAAACAAACCTAGAATTCATCGTGATGTATAGGGCCAATTGGATTTGATGCGGATGTCTAGGATGGTTTTAAATGGTGTATTTTAATATTTTGATAAATGTTTTTTAATGTTTATGTATTGTATGTGAATTTGTGTCCCGGCATTGAATGTTTGCCGTGTATATGCTGTGCTCCCCCCTGAGTCCCCTTCAGGGTGAGAAGGGCAAAATATAAATGTTTTAAATAAATAATAAATAATAAATAAATATAGGAGTTGTAGGTATTGGGATGTATAGTTCACATGCAGTCATTGAGCACTCTGAACACCACTTATGGACCTGGAACTAACTTAGCACACAAAACCCCCATGACCAACAAAAATGCTGGAGGTCTTTAGTGGGATTTATAGGAGTTGTAGTTCACCTACATCCAGAGCATACTATGCAGCCAAACAACGATGGATCTAGACCAAACTTGGCATACATCCCCAATATACCCAAATTTGAATAATGGTGCATTTTGAGGGGAATTGGCCTGGGCATTTTGGAGATTTATAGTTCACCTGCAGTCAATGAGCACCCTGAACTCCACCAACGAAGGATTTGGAACTAATTTGGCACACAGAGCCTCCATGGCCAGCAAAAAATACTGGAGGCCTTTGGGGAAAAATTCACCTTGATTAGGGGGAGTTGAAGTTCACCTACATCCAGAAAGCACTGTGAATCCAAACACTGATGGATCTGACCAATGATACCTACGGGCCTGGGAGGGAGGGAGGAGGGAGGGGGCGAGGAGGAGCGGCAGGCTGCACTACCAGGCCGGCAGGGTAGTAACCTACTGGGCTGTCTTCAACGTCGCCGGCATGGAGTTGGCTCCGCCTCAGCCCAGAATAGCTGCAGCAGGAGCCAAAGCCAGAGTGGCGGGGGGTGGGGGGGTAGGAGAGGTCGCCTCTGGCTGTTCCAGCTCCGCCCCCCGCGGAGAGGCCCAGCCCCTCCTGGTACCGCAGAGCCAGCAGCAGACCAGTGGCGGCGGGGACAGCCCAGCAGGCAAACACCCCCCAGCTGGCCTGGTAACGCGGCAAGAGTCGAAGCCGGAGCAGGGCGGCGGTACTGGGAGGGGTGGGGCCCTTTGCAGGGGGCGGGGCTGGAGCAGCCAGAGGCGACCTCTCCCTCTGCCGCCACCCCCACCCCCCGCCACTGCTGCTCCGGCTTTGGCTCCTGCAGCAGCTGTTCTGGGCTTGAGGGCGGAGGCGGAGCCAATTCCATGCCGGCGACAGTGAGGACAGCCCAGTAGGCTTCCACCCTGCCGGCCTGGTGGCGCAGCTTGCTGCTCCTCCTCGCCCCCTCCCTCCCTCTGCCCTCCTCCTCCTCAGGCCCCACCACTCGGGGATGCCAAGGGCGAGGGAGATGAGGGAACAAGTTCTGACAAACTGTATACCAGGGTACAAGATGACTCCCCACTTTTGAGATGATTTTCCTGGCTTAGAAAGTTGTCTTGTACCCCGGAATATGCGGTATTATTATTATTACTAGCGGTCCCCTGCCACGCGTTGCTGTGGCCCAGTCTGGTGATCTGGAAAATAAAGTAATGATAAAGTGTTGGCATCTAATATATGTAATGTCTTTATGCTTGTGGGTAAACAGTATTTCTTGCTGTTTCTTTGTCAGTGTTGATGTGGAGATTGTCTGGTTTGCCTACTCTTGGAACATGCAACATATCATTGTCCTTCTTTAGGGGTCCCTTTCAAATCTTTGATACTGCATCTGTCATATACATATGTGTGTGTGTGTGTGTGAATGGCTGGATGGCCCTTTGTCAGGAGGGCTTTGATTATGTTTTCTTGCCCTGGTGAAGGGAGTTGGACTGGATGGCCTTAAGGGAGCATTTCTCAACCTGGGAAGTCAAGGGGGGGTCACCAGGGGGTGTCAGAAGGGTCACCAAAGACCACCAGAAAACACAGTATTTTCTGTTGGTCATGGGGGTTCTGTGTGGGATGTTTGGCCCAATTCCATCGTTGGTGGAGTTCAGAATGCTCTTTGATTGTAGGTGAACTATAAATCCCAGTAACTACAACTCCCAAATGTCAAGGTCTATTTCCCCCAAACTCCATCTGTGTTCACATTTGGGCATATTGAATATTCGTGCCAAGTTTGGTCCAGATCCATCATTGTTTGAGTCCATAGTGATCTCTGGATGGAGGTGAACTACAACTCCCAAACTCAAGGTCAATGCCCACCAAACCCTTTCAGTATTTTCTGTTGGTCATGGGAGTTCTGTGTGCCAAGTTTGGTTCAATTCCATTGTTGGTGGAGTTCAGAATGCTCTTTGATTATAAGTGAACTATAAATCCCAGCAACTACAACTCCCAAATGACAAAATCAATCCCACCCCCACCCCCCACCCCCAATCTCACCAGTAAATTGCTTCTAGCATATATGTTGAGTTTTGAGTGGTGGTCACTCTTTGTGTAGTGAGATGTTTTGTTGCCAAATTTGGTGTGATTTCGTTCATTGGTTCTTTTGTTTTTAAGGTACTCATTATGCACAGAGCATTTATATATATATATATAGATATACCTTTCGCCTCCAGAATTTGTGTCACTTCCTGTTGTAACGGGGGGGGGGGGGGGGGGGGGGGGGGGGGGGGGGGGGGAGAGCAGAGATTGCCACTCCTGCCTTAAATGAGACAGCACCTCTATTCACAGTCCATTGGAAATTATCTATATTTCAGGCAACATAGTGACAGAGTCTTTGGAAGACGCCTGTGCGTGAGTTTTTTTTAATGTGTGGAGGTCAGTGCACAACTGATCAACACACAGTCTTCACAGAGTGAGGTTCCACTGGTGATGTAGTTTAACACAATGACCATGGCTTCTCAATCTGTTGCAGCCTTCTTCAGCCTTCACAGCCAATTGTAACATGTACCATGTTATCCTCCGCCTGATCCGTCGTTGAGGTCTTTGGGTCTTCGGACTGTGCTTGGTCTGGAACCTCCCTCGCGGCCACTCCTGGGAGTCCACGACTCCAGTTGTTGTGCCTACAGGTTCACTGGAACACGCAAGCCCCCTCACCACGACAAGGTGACAGTCCATCGAGAGTGACATAGTAGTATCAGAAGGTAGAAGGAAGGCACCTTATTTCAAATACCCCTCTTTCAAATACCTCTCTATCAAAATGACCAAAATTGGAATTAGTAGACCCTCATGCACATATGCCCAGACTACCAATATGGGTGGCTGCTTTCTGCTTTTTGTTTCCTTTGGGAGGAACATTCTCCTTTATGTCGAACTATAGCTCCCCAGCTGTTTATTTTGGAACACAGCTTTTCTCAAAATAAATTCTCTAGCCTTGAGACATCTCCACTCCCAATCTTTCACAATGTTTGTAATTTGAAAAGGCCCCTTAGTACCATGGCAAGGCATTCATCTCTCTATCTTGGGGCCAGCCTGCATTGAGATAGAAAAGCTCTGTTGTGTCTGGATTCAAGATCAGCCTGCCTCAATAAAAATGTCTGTTTACGGCAACCATTATTCACTGGGATATAACAACTTAAAGTGTGACAGTGGTTTTGCTTGTGTGGGAGTCTTGTGGTCCTTCAAATGTTGGAGTTCAACTCCCAGCACTCCTCATCACTGGCTAGCTTTGCTTCCCAAGTTATCTTATACCAGGCATCCTCAACTTGCAGCCTTCCAGCTGTTTGGGCCTCCAACTCTGAGAAGCCCTAGACAGTTTGTTTAATTGTCAGGAAATCTGGGAGTTGGATGCCCAAACAGACGAAAGGCCACAGTTTGAGAATGTCTATCTTATACACTCAACATGCATTAGGCCTATGGTAGAAAGCTAAAATATGATTAGTAGCATTTTGCATGGAAGAGAAATGAAGACACAACATCAGAACCCAGCAAAGCCCAGAAAAGTCTAGCTCATCACCTTCGGACAGCTCCACAGTAGCGGCAGTCGACCAGGAATATGCACCGCAGGGCCCTCGTGATGCGCACATGGGACGTCTGGCGAACCAACACTACAATCGCTTCCACAAACTGAAGCAACAAGACACTGGTCTGCAAAGAAAGGAGGCAATGAAGGCAACAGCCATTGCAAGCAAAATTCAAGTTTGTGAGACTAGAAGCACGAAGTATCAACTTGCATCGTGTTTTTGCTTTTGCATCAGAGGAAGCAAAAACAAACAGGATTACATTTGAGATTCTGTGAAGAAAAGTAAGCCCACAAACTAGTCATAATAAAAAATATTTGCAGCGATGCAAGTCATATTGCATTTGTTGTCACTGAAGCCGCAAATGGTGTGGGATACAATATTCAAAATGAAAATATTTTTATACTGGATGAAGCAAGAAAAGTATCCAGTCAGCTCTAGACAATATTAAAAAGGCAAACAATGTGTTACAACCTTCAGGTACAACAGATACAGGGTTCAGTCCAGGATGCATTTAAAACTAAACCCCATTGACCTCAGTAGCATTCATTTTTAAGGAAAAACGCCTAGGATTGCATGACTGGAATCATGAAGGTTCCCAGAGCTTCACCTTGACCATGGTCCTTTTGTGCCGGATGTAAGTGTGGAAGCCCAGCCACCTCATTTTCATAGAGAGTTCAAACACTACAACTGTGAGGGCAAGCAGCTCCAGGGTTGCATGGATCTGGGATCAAACAGCCAAAAAAAAAGTGATCAGTTTAACATCTGCAATTCAGTTAGCTACAATAGGAAGTTTTACAGCGCTACCTTGAGGATGGCCAAGTCCTTTTCCCCATTCCCTGTCCAACAGTACCAGAAAACTGAACCACCCTTTCCAACTTTAGGGCTAATCTATGTGCAAAAAGCTAAAGGCATTTCAAATGCACTTTTAAAGCACAAGTAGCTTCTACTCATGGCCATTCAGGCCTTCCTCCATCCCATCCTCAAGGTACATACATAGATGCCGAGGCGGAGCATGGGGACCGCAGGAGCCTCACAGAGGGACAGCAGCAGGAGCAGCAGGGCAGTGCTTAGTTCCATTAGGTAGAAGAGATGATTGTGTACAAAGAGGTAGGCAGCCAGCGCTTTGGCATCCTTGGGATGCGTGAAGAACTTGTCATTGTTCGCTCCTTCCTAATGTAAAGTTTTCAAATAACAACGTAAGACCTCCTATGTAGGTATACTACAGGTACATAGCATAATGTAAAAATACCCTCAACCAACTTGACGAGCAATTCGCCCTGATCCTCTTTGTGAGGCACTCACATGACTTTTCCTTCCACAAATCAAATTACTATTTTCCACCCAGCCAACTGTTACACTTTTATCTCCCGGTGAGCGTCTGTAATGCCAACAAATGGGTTCCCCCAACAAAGTCTACCTGGAGGTAGATTGCCGACTCTTGGTAGTTCATTTCCCAGTTGTGTCTTCCACAGGTTGGTTGAGGATAACAGTCCCCAGCAGCCGGGCTGTGTGTGTTGTTGACCAAGTCATAGTTGCCTCCATCTGTGTTGAAGGAAAAGGGCGAGATGATGTATTTGTTCTCATCCCTTACCCTAGTTTTTAATAATGTGGGGCAAACTTTGGGTTGGGAGATGGAGATAGGAGCTGCATTTCAAACATCTAAGGGAGGGGGGGTGCCAGGTTAGAGAAGACTCCCCTACAGAAAGCCTAACTATATGTAGGTAAATCAAATGCACACACATCCTTTCTAACTACAGGAAAAGGAATTTCAATTAAACATGAAGAACTTCCCAATGGTAAGAGCTGTGACAATGGAAGTGTCTACCTTAGAAGGTGGTAATCTCTCTTTGAAAGTCTTTAAACAAAAGTCAGATAGACATCTGTAAGGCCTGTTTTACTGGTAGATTCCTACATTGGGAGGGGATTAGACTAGATGGCTCTTGAGGTCTCTTTCCAACTCTATAACTCTAAATTAAATGATATGCTTTATTCTCAAAGGAACTGATTTCCTGAAATGCAGACTAACGCAACCACTCCTTCAGCATTAAAACCAAGACTTCACACTGAGAATCAGGTTTCATTTTCAAAGTAATGACATTCAGCTTATTGTAACAGCTGCATGTTGTATTCAAAGCCTGCTCTCAAAACAGAGAATATCTGATACAAATGTTGGCCTCCCATGAATAAATAAGAGGTTTTGATGATGATGACGAAAGTTTCCAACATATCCAGGCACAGCTTGCTGAAATCTCAAGAACCCAAACAACTCCACTAAGAGTTTGTACTACTTACATATCAATTCAAGGAACACAAATTAGGTAGAAAGGCCCAAGTCAGTCATATTTGTTTCCACCAGTTTTTTTTTAATTCTATAGTTTTCTTTTATTGCATTTTTACTGTAACTGTGATTTTTAAAAATCAGTTCTTGTTGTATCTTGCAAGCCCCCAGAAAATTTCTAATATTCAGTCATCTATAAATAGCAAATACATAAACAAATATAATTCACATTGAGCAACCCCACATATACGCCACATATGCCACACAAGCTGTTCCCAAATTTTGCACCTGCGCCTCACCAGTAGAATTTCAGTGGAAGAAAATGCCCTTCAGGCAGCAAACTTTGATTTGTGTCACTGTCAAAAAACAGTTGCTCAACTTGACAAAAGCCAAAATGAATGCAATCATGCCCCCTCTCCCTCTACTGTTTTCCTGTGCATTTATATTAATTTCTGGCATTTACATTCTTCCTTTCCTTCAAGAGGCATGCATGYCRCCCCCCCCCCCCCCAATTCTTACAACAATCCTGCGAAACAGATTCGGCTGTGAAAGGAAATAACTGGTCCAGGATCAGCACCTCATGGCTCAGTGGGGCTCTGACCTTCGATCAGCTGAGTCGCTGGCCAATGCCCCAACTAACACCCCAAATATTGGCAGCAGCCACTGATCTCTCATACTAGACACACCAATGTCCCCCCACAACCAGAAGGAAACATGCACTCTGTTAATGAAGCACCAGGGATCCTTGTTCAAGTTCAACCTCTGTCGCAAATACAGCAGGTGATTTTTGGCAACCATTTCCTTCTGCCATAATCCTGTGATCTACCAAAGTGGCTCAGTCAGTATAATTGTAGTGGGTGGAGTAGTGAATGTAACCTATATTGTCCTGGGCCTTTACAAGAAAGATTCCCATTGAGACTCTCAGTTCACCAAGGTCTGTTAATTGGGGCGGGGGAGGGGGGACCTGCTCATCCAGGAAAGCTCCATCAGCAGAGACAGAGCATTTGAAGCCTTCATCCTTAGGTACAGTGAATCCTAAAGAACCTCATCCTCTGTGCACTCCACTGAGCCCCAACATCTTGATAGTCCCTATCAAAAAACCTTTCAGTTGTCGAGATATTTTAACTGCAAAGAGCTGAGCAAAGGAGAGGTAAAGCTTCCAAGAGTGTACTTGCAAAAACCTTGAGGACACAGGGAGGGACTGCAAGCAGGCGGATCTGCACAGATGGTAAAGCTGTCTTTGCGCCTGCATGACTTCTCCCCGGAGTTCCATCAGAGCCAGCTGTCCCGCTTACAGAAGACCTCTGGAATGATGGTTCAGGGAAGCAGGCATTTCCATTCATTGGAGGGGGCTGGAAGACGCTCTGGCAGGCCTTGAAATAGAAACGACTTCCAGATGCCATCATATAAAGGGGAAGGTGCCGGGGGGGGGGGGGGGGGGGGGGGGGGAGAGAGAGATGAGGAATGCAAATGTTTACCAACTCATGATATTCAACTGGCTAGCAGGCCAAATAAAGTCCTGGCAAAGAAACGCTAGCACTCTCAATTTAGAGTGCCAGGAGTGTGATTAAAAAGCCAGGACTTGAGACAAGTTTGAAGACAAGCAAAGCCAGTGGAGGACACAGGTAAATGATCATGTTAGCAGGGATTATTTCAAGAAGAACCCCAGCGCAGAGGCTTCCAATTAGGCATTTGTTCTTCCAGCCACCATGTCACACTCCGTTGTCCTTTTGCCTTTTATTAATAGATCAGAGCCACTCCACTAAAGATGGAACACAAAACCGCTTGCTGAATACCTGAAAACGGTACATAGCCTGTCTCCTCCCACTTCCCCTGCCCCAAGAAGTTCAAGGCAAAATGCACAGGCCGTCTTTCCATTCGAATCCCCAAAACAACCCTGAGAAGTAGGTTACCCTTAAGGCTCAAGCCAGAGCTTATAACTGATTATTCTAAAACAAGTCCAGGGTGAAGGAGGAATATGAATGGCAAAGAAATTACTGAGAGCAGTTAGTTGCCAGAATAGGTCAGCCAAAATAAATCAGTTTTTCCAATCCATTCAGACAGGATTGCCAGGGGATGGGTGGGGCCCACAATTGTTCCTTTCCAACTACCGCCAATGAAAGCATGCTTGGGTCAGCTGATGCTCCCCACCCAGGAGGCAAAGGGCAAGCAGGGCTGGGGCCGTGGAAAAGATCCTGCTGTGGCCCTGTGGTCTCCAGAGAGGGGATTCTGCGGAACCCAGAGATAAAATGACAGAAGAACACAGTATCTGAAAGCTGTTTTGGGGCTGGTGGGATCATGACACAAAAATATCATTTCTATGCCTTTCTTCATTCTAAAACACCAATATCACTTTTTTCTCCTCAAGAAAGTAGGAGACCTGTGTCTCTAAAGCAAGATGGAGATGTAACTCAAAGGGCAAAACATAACTTGATGTGGACTACACTATATATATTGTCGTGTCAGGAGCGACTTGAGAAACTGCAAGTCGCTTCTGGTGTGAGAGAATTAGCCGTCTGCAAGGACGCTGCCCAGGGGACGCCCGGATGATTTGATGTTTTTATCATCCTTGTGGGAGGCTTCTCTCATGTCCCCGTATGAGGTGCTTGAGCTGATAGAGGGAGCTCATCCACCTCTCCCCGGATTCTAACCTACGACCTGTTGGTCTTCAGTCCTGCCGGCACAGGGGTTTTACCCAGTGCACCACCAGGGGTTCCTGACTACACTATGCAATGACAGCATTTTGATGCCAGTTTAACAGCATGCTTAGATTGTCATCAGGGGATGTAAGCTGCCTTACCTGGGTGGGGGACCAGCAACCTGTCATTACAAAATTTTCATTTTAATTATATTTTTAACTTTTGAATGATGTAATTTTTTCCAGCTCTGTTTTAACTTTTGTAGGCTATCCTGAGACCTAGACTAGGAAAAGGGCAGCAAATAACAGCAGCAGCAGCAGCAGCAAATTATTTCCCCATCTTCCCTGCATTCAGTGAAATTTACATTTTGAAAACTCCTTGATCACCATCTCTCATTTTCCCATCTCATTTTTTCCTCATTGTACTATTTATCCATTTACATTTCACAGTTTGCATCTTCTCGAGACATTATCCGAAAGCACAATGCTTTTGTTCTGTTCTAAATTTTTACCATCTCCCTAACTCATCGACTGCAACTTTGAAGAATTTACTTTACTATCCCAGATGCTACTAAAAATGCCCAAAGCATCTGCTTCCTTCGGCATGGTTACAAACAAACTACTTTATTCCCTCCCAGTTTAGATTTCCATTATTTATGGGCAGCCTACTTTAAATTCTAGCGCAACATCTCACAGCCTTCTACACCCTCATCTTTGAAAAGGCACTCCCCACTGATTCAGTGTAGTTTTATAGGTTTATAAAGACTCTGCACAGCACAAAAGTAACACATGCTGAAAAACACCACTATGGACTAACACATCTTAACACGTTGGCACTATATACCATTGCTTTATAGATTCATGTTACACACCACATTTGAACTACTAATTTTCATTCAGTGGCAAACTTACATCTCACAGTTAAGCATAAAAAATAAGTTCACTGGATACCAAATAAATGAATTTTCTCATATAAGAGATAAGGGTGATCATTTGGAAGTACCTCCATTCATGCTTTGCTTGACCATTCCAAACAGCAGCCTGCAACATGTAGAAAAGATCATGGAGGCAAGGAGAAGGTAATGATAAGAACATCAATAATATGTAATGCCAATCACTGTGGTGCTAGGAATCTTCACTTTACTATTGTGAACTTCAGATTATAATTTTTATGGGGATAGTGGTGACCACAGACAATACATTCCAAATGTCTTAAGTAATTTGAATGTTTTCATGTAAAACACAGTACTCAATTTTCTTTGTGGACTTTCTCCAGGATATTTGAATGAGTGGAGGCTGCTTGGATGAAAGAAAGAGCATGACTTTCTAGGTGCTAACTTTCTACATCTTCCTTTGCCCTAAGCCCAAGATAATGCCTTTTCCCTTTGCTGGTTTGCATTGAGGGATGGTAGCAGTGTTTACATGTATGGCACCATTAAGCCATTCTGTTAAGGGAACAGGTGGTTATGAGGCTATAAACGATTTCTAAAGCACTAGGAGACGTTGAAACTGCAGTTCCGAAATGACAAAGTTTTTGACAGCGTCTGGTCGCTTTCCGCTCGCCGTAGCTGACTTGGAACATTTGACGCACAGAGCGGAACCACTCGGAGAAACAAAGAACGATTC